ATCGCGTATTTACACACACGCACTCGCACATAATAGCAAAACCTCATTACCTAGATATGGTAAGTCATTTTACGGTTAGTGGTAAAGGTGGGTATGCGGTAACAGTTCCGACGGTAAAAATACGGAAATCGAGACCTGCATGTGGGTGCACATCCGTTGAAAATTATATCAGAAAAAAAATTTTTACCATAGGTTTTTTTCTCTGTAGCTGCGATCAATGTGTATAAATTGTGCAGATAATATTTATTATTTTATTGTATATTGGATTGCATACACCGTAGGTAAATATATAGAAATGTTATTGATCGTTGATTGTGTTTATTATAATATTATATAGGTATGATTATTATATTGTGTTCATTATAAGCCGCTTCATTCCGTGTATGTTTATACTTTTTTTTTTATCTAGCCTAGGTCGTGATTGTTGTGTTTGAATTGAACAGATCTCACAAATAAATAGTATTAATAAAAAAAATAATACAAAATAATTCAATACAAAAAAATATAACAGATTTTGTGCCGAGTATTTCGTATTATATTACTAAGCGTCAGTGGCGAACACTCAACAATAAATAGGGGTACCAAATTGATTCGGTTATCCCTATATTGGCTAATAGACTAATGGCTATAGCCTATAATTATTCAATAGTTTAATTTCAATATTTTTATAAGTAGTAGAATGGTCCACCCACTCACCTACCAAAAAAATCAGGGGTAGCAACTGCTACCCTTGAACCCTCCAGTGTGCGCCACTGCTAAGCGTCTACGCATAATGTGTAGTAACTCTCATAAATGTGTATATTATATAATGATAGTGTATAGCGGTGTAATGACTGCCTAGTTTTGTATTATTATAGTGTGCATGGAATAAATTAAGACAAGGAAAACCAAGGTCAATAAGAAAATGTATGAAATGACAGTGGGACAATAAATTAGTTTGGGACGTACCATACATTAATACATACAATTAATGCATGTAAAACTAGTAGCTATATTATACTTGTATGCCACAATGAAATGGTCTATCGCTTCGGGTCAATAAAATATAATATTATGAATAGGTTGCCTATTGATTACTTACTTTTCATAACAAATTATTATGATGTTACTAGCGTCGACCGATATCGATGATGATGATAGTGATGTGGTATTTTCACAATATCATAAACATAGGTGCATTAGGACCCTTGTAAATCCATGTCCATCCTTGTAGCTAAAAGAATCAACTACCTATCACAAGTAATCCATCAACTATAATGTGGTTAAAACAACTTTTTTTCGTCAGTTATATTTAATTGCATTATTTATATATTTATTTACAGAAAAATTTAACCGAAGTTCGTCCGCTGACCTCGACGTTCACGACGTTATCATCTCTCTGCATTAAAGTTTTCTCATATTGTGCTAATTAAGAAGGAATAACGTTTATTCGAAGGGAACATAAATCATTTTTGGTTGGGTATAGTAGCTATATGAACATATATTAATCCCTCGCCGCTCCTAAATACGCGCGCTTCTACACCGAAGATGATAAATGCCCCTAATAACAAACGTAGTCGGTACCTATACATCCAAGTCTAAATTAAACTCTCATTCCATGACCAGTGTGGAGGTAAAAAAACTCGAAACCCGTGGGCCACGTCAGCCCAACAGCGCAGACTACAGCCACACAGTGTATCGACACCACCACCGCCATCAAAATATGACTTAATCGTGTTCAGTATCAGGCGAATGTCCGCGATGGTGTATAATATAATATTACAACACGAACATGTGTGAGAGTCGCCAGGTGGACTAATGCGAATAATATTCGAGGCATTTGCACTGAGCATTTCCATCGCACACGTATATAATCGTACGATTGTGTATAGTCGAATGAATGTTACGAATATTTTGAGACCTTTGCCCGGGGTACATTCGAAACACGTGCGACGGGATAAAAACCACCGTCGTCTGAGACCGCCCACCATCATCGTCACGGTTATATCGAACCATATTATTCGTACCTATATACATGTGCGCATGCAACTCTACCTAATAAGTGTTGTGATTGCTTTGCACGACGACTGTTTTTTGAAAAATCGCCATGAACTCGGCCTTTTGCGAAACACGCACAAAATATATGCTCATAAAAAAAAAATCCACATCGGTCGTATATTAGCAGCGATTTGCACAGACGAGCAGTAGCGTATACTACTGCAGAACGAACACACGAGACGAAATTTATATAAAATAATATTATATCAGTAAAGATTATTATAGGTGGGTACAGCAAGTCTACGACGGGACGTTGACGTTTTCACCGCGAGTGCTATATGTATATATATCAAATCTCATATTACTTGTAATCCACCACTGGCACAAAACGACTGATAGATATATAAAGTCGGATCTCGTTTTGTCGTTTCTGTTTACGCGATTTAATATACGGATTATTCGGTATCAAAATATATTTCAAGGAGAGGAACATGTTCCAAGACCATAGCACGCTACTCGACATTTTTCCTCGAGGAAAATATACAAATCATAAATAATATTATGTTGTCGTAATAAGACCCTCCGAAAAATCGGTTGGAAACAAAAAAATCCAATCCTAAAACATATTCATGTTAAAATAAATAAAACATAACTAACACATTCTCACTTCATATTTAATAATAAAAAGTCTAGTAATTATTAAACGTAAAAAAATTTCCACACAATATTAGAGTATTATAGTTAATCGTTAATGTATATGTATCATGTATGTATGTATATATGTATGTATGTATGTATGTATGTATGTATGTATGTATGTATGTGTATGTATGTATGTATGTGTGTGTGTATGTATGAATATTAGAATATGGTTATTATAATTTAAAAGTGGCTTAATAGTCTAATCTCTGGGATAGAGGCAGCATTTTATCAAACGCAACAAATATAGGTATACCTGCGTATATAATAATTGTTAAAAAACAACATAATTTATAATATTATGGACGTTATAACTAAGAACGCAGTGCATATTGTTTACGATGCATACGATTTCAAAACGAAGCACAGGTAAATATAACAACATTTTTACGAGGCACGAGAGATAAAAATATTAATATCATAGTCTACCACAAATTATACGATCACACTGTATGCACTATGCAGATATATATTATTGTCTAAGCGATTGGATATTTTAAGACAATCTTTTGCGGTCAGCGGCGACCCCGGTTTTATAAACTTTAATTATTATGTTACATTTAATGGGTTTTAAACGTTTCTTCAACAAAACTTATAAGTCATTATACAAAAAAAACTGATGTTGAAAATGAGTAAAGTTTAAGTTAAAACGTGTTTTCTTTCGAATAATAAAAGTCAATAAATTATTCATATACAAAGTTTTCAAAATAATAATCATGACGCCTGAGTGTGATGTTTATTCTGTGTTAATTTATACAATGCTGCTATACTAAATAATAAATATCCTATTACATATTATACTATTCACTTTATATCGTAGTGAGTATAATATATAATTGGTTAGTTTCGCGTATAGTTTTCTTTCTAGAATAAAAAAAAGTACGGTAACTGGCACGTACAATGGTCACAAAATAATGTGGCGTATTATAAGGAAACACGGAGAGTCTGTTTGCATTAATAAAAACCACAATATTATGTTGTTGGTTTTTTATTATTTTATTTTTTATTGATGTCGTTACGTCGTTGGTTGACATACATCGCCACACGGGGGAAACAACTTTAGTTTTTGCAGTCAAATAGTCTACAAATTACAAGTCGTTGTGGAAGTTTCTTTTTGAATTAAAAAGCAATTAAGAATGCAAAATGACATTGCTCGTTCGTTTGATGTTTAAAGAGAGACCTAGTATAGTAATAATAGTGATAATGATAAAAAGAAAAATACTCCTATTCAAATACCGTAATCAAAATATATATTATAAACATTAAATACGACATTTTTTTTAAAGCTAACCGACATTGAATAAATGCGTTTTTTGCGACTATGCTGTAGTTAACGCCGTTAGAAAAGTTATTGACGCGTTACACTTGATGAGTGATGATAATAACACGAATGGGTTTTTGATTATATTGCCACATAATCGACATTGACGCATTCTAATCAAGAAAACTATATATAATTCCCAAAATAATAAATTTAAAAAAAATGCACAGCAACACGATGACGTGCGTTTGAAGTTAAATCGTGTAAAAAAAAAAATTAAAATAAAATACCAAAAAACTGGGGAAAAAAGTTGAAAAAAGTGTTTAAACGAAAAGTTTGTTGCTACTCGCCGGACCTATCAATTTTCCGTCTCGAGTTAAACTCTAACGCGCGGCAATTTGTCCAAAGGGTCTGAGATTATATTCGAAAAACGCTTTAGAACAAGATTACACTATATATATAATAATATTATACACATCTCTATAATACATAGTACGTGTGCGCGTACGTAAATAGCGAAATAGAGTGATGGATAAAGGTAGACAAAGAAAGAGAAAGAATAAGAGATGGAGCGAGAGAGGGGGGGAGAGAGATAGAAAGAATAAGAGAGGGAGTGAGAGAGAGAGAAATAAAGAGAGAGGGTGAGAGATAGAGAGAGATTCTTCCGCTATCTCAACGTTACCTATATATTATATTATGAGCTCTGATAATTTTCGGCTTGGATCGGCGGCCAGGCACATTTCATTTGTTTTTCTCCGCCCCCCCACCCGCCATCTACCTGTCGCATACGTATTAGCACCGCTGACGCGAACTCGACAGTCGAAGTATACCGCTAAAACCATTTCGGACCAAAGCGCCTCGATATCGGTAACTATAAGGAAAAGCAGAAGGCACATTACATAATATTATCGTACGCGAGTGTTCGTCCATCGCGCTGCAGACGTATCGCACTGGGCCGGTCGTACCTATAGGCGGCGGCGGAGTGATTGATGGGCTGTGAAGCAAACGGCGGGCGCCGATAGCTAACGAACGATATTTTATGATAATAATAATATATACTCACTGGTCACGGTCAGAGTGATGCTAATGGAATGACCACGTCCGTCCATGCCGGTTGCAGTGCAAAAGTACCCTCCCACGTCCTCCTGTTTGACAGTCTCGAACACCAACAGAAGTCCGGTCTGGTTCCGCTGCATCGGCAACTTCTGCGAATGCACCCTGCGAAGTCATCGCCCTCGTTAATACATAATATTAAGTAATATATAAATGTATAATACCTAGTATTATTACTATACATTAACGTATCGTTTTTTTCACGATGATTTTTTAAACCAGAATTAATGCAATATGGTAAACACATCGATTATAATCATGTAGTTACTATCCCTCTGAAGTTTTTAGATTAATTATGGAGATGACGGATGATCATCTGCACATACTCCCACCACTATAAGAAACTTGAATTTTTTTTTTTAATGAATTAAAAATTGTATCTATAATCATATAATAACTGTTAAATTAACATTAAATATATAAACAAATAAGAATTATTCTCGAAAAAAGAAAATTCAATATGCCGATATAAGAGTAGAAGTGGAGACTGTAACTCATCAAGAATTTTGCAACAAAACACTAAGTTATACTATTTCTGCAATGAATAATATGTAACAATGACAAAATAAAACATAAAATGCACCAACAACATAAGTGCGTAATTATATCAATACCTATATTTCAGTTCCATTATATGTATAATATGTATGTTAAAATAACCAAATTAGTATCAAGAAATATGGAGCGTATATTGTTAAAAACCTATGATTGTAGTTAAAGTATAAAGCTATCTATATTAAGAACGATATTTAAATATTTTACATAATTATTTATTACAGAATAACCGACAACAAAAGAAAAATAAATCAAAGAAGGAGATATTTCTGAGTGGAGCTATAACATAATATTATTTAAAAGTCATTTTCGATAAATCTATAATCATAAGATTATTAGGTTAAAAAGAGATGTTAAATACAACAAAAATGTATTATTTTTAGTTAAAGTAAGTAGGAAAATGCTTTGATATTCAATTTCAATAATAGTTTCTGTTATCAAATTGAATCTATTTGATGTTTTGTGGAGTCAAAAGTAATAAAATTCCCAGTGCTTTTCGTAATACATTGGAGAAACTAAAAAAAATTTTGAGGAAAATAAGAATATATAAGAAAGATAAATTCTTAACGAAATCATTTGTTATTTTGTTAAAAAACAAATAGCAGTAGATCTTAGAAATTTTCCAAAAATATTTTAATTACTTACTATTTTAAAGATATGGTATAATTATCAAAATATTTTGGCTCTTTTTGATCTATACAAATTGATAAAAAATGTTATACAGATCGAAAAGGTCGAACATTTAAATTAATATTCATGAGAATTTTTTTTACAGGAAAAAAAGTTTAGAGTAGTTTTACATTAGTTTTTATCAGCGTTTATGTTAAAATGTTGACGATTTTAATCATAATAATATTGTTCATAGAGCAACCCATAGATAAGTATAATATAAGAGCAACCTATAAAATAGATACAATTTTCATCTAAAGTTCTAATTGGTGTGAAGTTGAATACTATATTTATGAAAGTAAAATTGCGTGTAATTTATGAAAAAAGTAATAATAAGGGTCAATAATTGTCATAAGAATCAATAATAATGCAACATCATTGTCGTGTAATGTATTTTAAAAATTATAACTCAAATATGTAATTTTTTTTTCTATTGTGCTTTTAAGTTTGATAACTTCGATCAACTCGATGTTCGCACACAACTGGAACTTAATTACCTAAATAATAATAAAATTGTTGTAAAAATATATTATAATTGTCAATTACTTCGTACGACCGTTTTTAATAACGTTTATTACGCAATATATACCTACACAGCACACAACATCAGCAAATTATATTTTCAATTTAATCTACAGCTTGTTCATTTAATATGACGTGTAGAATATATTTCTGCTTATTTATACTTCGCAATGAAAAAAAATCAGGCAGTAAATTGGGTTTAATATATTTCCGTAAGTAATGAAATTATTATTTGAACATTGCTCATACGTGATGGTAATAATTAGTCTCGTTTTCATTAAAAAATATACCTACCTATGTTAATAAATATTAATTTACATAAATAAATAAAATTACTTGTATGCGTATGTAGAAGGTACACATTTATAAATAATCATATATGACGCTTGTAATACATTTTTTTTTTTTTTTTTTTTTTTGGTTTTCGGTCATTGAGACCATACCGCCAAACAAATTTCTCTCCATCTATCTCTATTTTCTGCCACTACTCTCCATGGTATCTCTGGTTCAATGTTTTCCACGTCCCTTTTTACACAGTCTTCCCAGCGTAAGCGTGGTCTTCCTAAGGGTCTCTTACCGACCGGGTTCTCTTCGATTGTTGTTCTGACTATGGATCCTACTCTCCGCCATGCATGTCCTGCCCAGGTTAATCTTCTTTTCTTGATTTCATTCGCGATGTTCGGTCTCTGGAACAGCTCTTCGAGTTCTTTATTATGACGTTTACGCCATTCACTTGTGTTTGTGTCAAAGCATGGGCCGTAGATTTTCCGTAAGATTCTCCTTTCAAATACTTTAAGTCTGGTTTCTTCTGCTTTCCTAAGTGGCCATGTTTCCGCAGCATACAGTACTATGGGTCGTATCAGGGTCATGTACATTTGTATCTTCAGGTTTGTCGATAATGTTCTTGAACTCAGTACTTTTCCAAGACCAAAAAAACTTTTGTTGCCTTTTTGTATCCTAGCACTGACTTCCATCTTCAGATCGTTATCTTGTGTTATCAAGTGCCCCAAGTATTTGAAATGTGTGACTCTTTTGAATACATGCCCTTCTACATTCATAGATTGTCCTTGTTGATATTCTCTGTCTTGTCGACTTACAATCATGTACTCTGTTTTTTCGTCGTTTATCTCCAATCCGACCTTACTAGCCATCGTGATGAGTTTCCTGCATACTTGTTTAACCGTTTCTTCAGTATCTCCTAATATCGCTATATCATCCGCATAAGCCAAGATATTTATGTTCGAGTTTCCCAATACTATTCCATTGTTACAATTTGTTGCTCTGATTACCTTTTCTAAAATTAGGTTGAACAATATTGGTGATAGCGCATCTCCTTGTCTTAGACCTGTCCTAACCGTTGCTGGTTCTGACAATTCCGATGCTACCTTTATTTTGATTTCTGTATTTTGCAGAGTGGCCTCAATTAATTTTATTAGTTTGTTCGGGAACTTAAACTCTTTTAATATGTTTATTAGACTATGTCGGTGGACAGAATCGTATGCTTTTTTGAAATCTACAAATAGTATACATTGTAATACATAAAATATTAAAATAGTACAAGTTTTAATCATAATACTTAACATTTTTAACAACGAATTACACTATAACTTAAATACATGTATCGTTTTAAAATAAAAAAATACATACATGTACAGTTCTGGATGTAATATTAATCATTGATTAGGTTTGATTATTTCATATACTTTTGTCATTGGTATACTCAATAGTTGATGGAATAATTATTGGGCCCCGTTGCTCCCTAAGTTATGGACAGAGGGAAAACACGGTGGTCCACATTTCATGCAATCAATTGAATGAATTCCGTATAATATATAATATTTACGATTAAATTCCAAAACCGTTTTTTTACCGTCGTAAACGGACGTTTCCTATAAATGCACCGTAGAAGTTTTTATTTTCTGCACCGTCCCGGGGAAAAAAAAAAATATAATATAAATCAAATGCAACCATATTGTGCAAATCCTGTAGTGGAACACTATACCGCAGTCGTAGTATTTAAATTATTGCCAAGTATTCTATTTTAATAAATCCCGGAAACGTGCTCGAGCTATATCTTGTGTTATGATAAACTATAATATACTATATAATAACATGAGAATAAGTCTCTCTTGAAACTACAAACGCCATTCATTGTTAATACGTAATATATATTGTGTTAGTATTCACATGTGCAATAAATAAACAAGGAACTTAATCTAAAAAATAGATACATAACCTAATAAACTCTCGAAAAACATGAATAAACAAATCAACGCATGCCGCCTTCTTTTATTCAATTACAAGTTATCATGTTATTATAACAGTCCCGACCCATCTGAATTTGAAACGATACGGCAATAAATGTAAATTTGATATTTTGTACACATTTTCGGTAATATTATATGAGAATCTAATTACATTATTCAAGTCGACCTTTGCAATATATGTATTCGCTCACCGGGAAAATAATGTTTTATGGATGAAAATCAATGTATAAGTGCATTGTACGTTCAATAATTTAATAATAATAATAATAACAATAATAATAATAATAATAGTAATAATAATAATAATAATTGATTCTCAACTCATACTAATAAACAGGTTTTCATTGTAATCATTGCTATTTGTACGGCTCTGTTTTTAATGCAATTAATATTAATATAATATTGTCCGTCCGCTTTTGACAAATAATATTATAATTAATCACTGGCCATCAATAGATGATTCTCAATAGAGTTTGGTTTTTGTGATAACTATACAAACTATTTAATTATTTTTACGTTAAGAAAGCAAGTAATTAATAATTAAACATTCTGAACGTTTTATGAACAGAGTAATGCATATATAAGTATAGTCTTGAATTGTAATATCAAATCTAATAAAGCTTGCCCCACTAAATAAATTAAGATAAATATAAAATAAATGTAATATTTTTAATTCAGTAAATTCACCATTATTCAAATTTAAATAAAGATTAACTTGTTTTTTTGAAATTGTTAGGACTTTTATGACTTACAAAATATTATAACATAGTATACATTAAATTTGCCTAAATTTTAGGTTAAAGAAAAAATATAAAATGCCAAGTTTATAACAATAAAATAAAAACATCATACTTTCATAAGGTTTATGCCCAAATTGGGCAGAATAAAAAAAAAATAGTTTACGGCTGTATAGCAATTTGATAAATAATTGATACAAAATACAATTAATTACATTCTATAAGATAATTATTTTACAACAAAATAACCAAGATCGGTTTTCTTAAAATCGCGTATGCTATAAATTTAAACGTTTAGATTTTTCAGTAGGTTTCCTCTACTCTTAGACGGAA